TTTTTTTTTTTTTTATCTTTCTAGTTAGAACTAGGCTAATAGAAGACATCTAAGGTAGGTGTAGGTTTATTGGTAAATGACAACATATTATACACATTAGTACAGGCGATAAATGGCTACTCTATGTTTTTTTAGATTTACAAAGGACTTATTGTTAAAATTCACGTACAAAGTTGGATAGTTTTTTTAAGGAAACAACCTCTTTAAGTTTTATTTCTGTTGGGGTTTTTTTTGTTGCTAAATTTAAAAAGGCTACTGTAAGTAAATATTGATTGATGTACATGGTGGTAGACTCTGCTGGAAGAGCCACAGTTATCCCATTTGAGTAGTGGCAAGGTCCATTATTTACACACCTTTCGTAAAATTGATTTGAAATTAACAAGTTCCAATCTTATGTTCGAAATTCATATAATTAAGGGATTTTATGCAACTCCCCTTCTGCTTCAGCAGTAGTTTGAACCGATTTGGATTTCCCCCTTTTTAGCTCCTGACGTCATCTGTGGGTCATGAAGGATAAGGAAGCGTATGGTGTAGTGCGGTTCATTGATTGGTGTCATGCTGTATCAACAATGGTGTTGGTGAAATCGCATGTGTGTCTCACGTTCATCTTTAAGAAGAATGTTTACCTTTCTGTCTTTGTGTAATGTCAACCATCTTTGACCAACTTTGCATCTCCTTCAGCTCTCCGGGGTTGTACGCTATAAACGCCGTGTTTGGTCGACCGTAACACGTGGTCGTAGCTTCGTCATAAACGTAGTAAGGGCACGTGCCAAGCTTCCTGACGCACAACAAGCCGCAGTGGATGTTACTTAGGGCAGAGGTGGACAGTGTGACGTAATAGACCCTGATGTCGAGGATGCTTTGATCGGGATCTAATCTGAAAAACTCTGCAGTGACCATGCCTGTCAAGAAAGGAATGATATCGTTAAAATTGATGAAATATATGTCGAAATTCTTTAAATAGTATGTAGACATAGGTAGCTCATACCAGAAATATGACACCATAAAAACAGGATTTAGATATCATTGTGTTAATATTTAACTCTGCAAATAAAGAGAATATATCAGCAGCCGCTCCCTACATAAGATGTAAACAATGTTAATATATTCATTGATTTATTGTTTGAGTATCGTAAAGCTTAGTGGTGTGTGTCACGTTTTTACAAGTGAATTATCATTGTACTCATCAGGCGCTCCCTACAAAGATGNGTTTGAGTATCGTAAAGCTTAGTGGTGTGTGTCACGTTTTTACAAGTGAATTATCATTGTACTCATCAGGCGCTCCCTACAAAGATGTAAACAATGTTAATATAGTCATTGATCTATTGTATTAGTATCGTAAAGTTCAGTGGTATTTATCACGTTTTCTTACAAGTGAATTATCACTGTACTAACAGTTTCACACAAAAGTGTCAACAAAACTTAAATTCGAACTCAAAATCTATTAAACTGGGGGAAATGTCAAGGAAATATTTACACGGGAGACTCTTAAATAAAGACAGAAAGACGAAATACATGTATTCTAGAAGGGTAAGATCGACGACACGCCATATATATCTACGTCAAATACAAGTAATACCACTTTCTCAAATCGAGCATTGGGTAGTGTAAACGAATTAACAAGGCCCACTTATGAGTATTATATAAAAAACGACCTTCTTATCACACAAAAAAAATAGCATATTTAACAATAAAATCATGATGGCGACCATAAAGCTTGCCAATACATTTAGTCTTCATGGAGTTGAATCGCTCGAAACCCTGTGCTGTAAGTTTGGCAGTCAGAGGTTGACATCAATCAAAGAAATCATGATATTTGGACCAAGCTCTTGAATACCGAAACAACTGTGATATATGAGAGCCCGGATGTTACTATCAAGAAATGGAAAACTCACGATCGGAATAGCGAAATATTCAAGATTGATCTTTCTCTTTGTGAGTAAAGATCGAGAAAAGCTGATGAGGAAGGCATTGTAGTGTTTTTATTTCGATTTCAATAGGGTATATACGATAATGGTCATTACAATTCATTCACGGAATATGGCTTTATCTCACTCGCAAAATTGGTTTTGACTATGTACTACTGAGGGTTGTCGTCTTTATTGCATGTATATAAAACAGCTGTATTGATAACATTTAATTAAACTGATATCTTATTATTAAATAATCATCTGAGCTAATTAAAAGTAGTGGCTGATATGTTTACTGTCATTAGGATGTCATTAACAATTGTCATAGTTACAATGTAATAATATGGATCAATTCAGATGACATTAGTTTCCTTCCACACGTATGTTAATGCTTTAGAGTACATACGATATAAAACATCCAGGTCATATGACGACGAATATGGTCAGATTATTCTGACAACATCATAACATATGTGCCAAGGGCAACGATGTGCTAACCAGAGGTACCTAGGGAGACAAATGACTAACCAAAGGCACCTAGGAAGACAACTAACTAACCAGAGGCACCTAGGGAGACAACTGACTAACAAGAGGCACATAGGGAGACAACTGACTAACCAGAGGCACCTAGGGAGACAACTGACTAACCAGAGGCCCCTAGGGAGACAACTGACTAACCAGAGGCCCCTAGGGAGACAACTGACTAACCAGAGGGACTCAGTTAGACAACTGACCAATAATAGGCACATAGGAAGACAACTGACTAACCAGAGGAACCTCGGGAGACAACTAACTAACCAGAGGCACCTCGGGAGTCAACTGACTAACCAGAGGTACATATGGAGACAACTAACTAACCAGAGGTATCTAGGTAGACAACTGACCAACCGGAGGTATCTAGGGAGACAACTGTCCAACCAGAGGCACTTCGGGAGACAGCGGACTAACCAGAGGCACCTAAGGAGACAACTGACTAACCAGAGGCATATCGGGAGACAACTGTCTAACAAGAGCACATAGGGAGACAACTGACTAACCAGACGCACCTCGGGCGACAACTGTCTAACCAGAGGCACCTAGGGAAACAAGGGACTAACTAGCGGTACCTAGGGAGACAACTAACAAACAAGAGGAACCTAGGGAGACAACTGACTAACCAGAGGCACCTAGAGAGACAACTGACTAACCAGAGGCACATCGGGATACAACTGACTAACTAACGGCACATCGGGAGACAACTAACTAACAAGAGGCACATAGGGAGACAACTGACTAACCAGCGGTACCTAGGGAGACAACTAACTAACCAGAGGCACCTAGGGAGACAACTAACTAACCAGAGGTACATAGGGAGACAACTGACTAACCAGAGGCACATCAGTAGACAACTGACTAACCAGAGGCACATAGGGAGACAACTGACTAACTAGCGGTACCTAGGGATACAACTAACTAACAAGAGGCACATAGGGAGACAACTAACTAACCAGGGGCACCTAGGGAGACAACTGACTAATCATATTCACATCGGGAGGCAACTGACTAACCAGAGGCACATCGGGAGACAACTGCCTAACCAGAGGCACATAGGGAGACAACTGACTAACCATATTCACATCGGGAGACAACTGCCTAACCAGAGGCACATACGGAGACAAAGAACTAACTAGCGGTACCTAGGGAGACAACTAATTAACAAGAGACACATAGGGAGACACCTGACTAACCAGAGGCACATAGGGAGACAACTGACTAACCAGAGGCACCTAGGGAGACAAAGAACTAACTAGCGGTACCTAGGGAGACAACTAATTAACAAGAGACACATAGGGAGACAACTGACTAACCATATTCACATCGAGAGACAACTGACTAACCAGAGGCACCTCGGGAGACAACTGCCTAACCAGAGGCACATACGGAGACAAAGAACTAACTAGCGGTACCTAGGGAGAAAACTAACTAACAAGAGGCACATAGGGAGACAACTGACTAACCAGAGGCACCTAGGGAGACAACTGACTAACCATATTCACATCGGGAGACAACTGACTAACCAGAAGCACCTCGGGAGACAACTGTCTAACCAGAGGCACATAGGGAGACAAAGGACTAACTAGCGGTACCTAGGGAGACAACTAACTAACAAGAGGCACCTAGAGAGACAACTGACTAACCAAAGGCACATCGGGAGACAACTGACTAACCAGAGGCACCTCGGAAGACAACAGACTAACCAGAGGTACCTAGGTAGACAACTGTCTAACCAGAGGCACCTAGAGAGACAACTGACTAACCAGAGGGACTCAGTTAGACAACTGACCAATAATAGGCACATAGGGAGACAGCGGACTAACCAGAGGCACCTAAGGAGACAACTGACTAACCAGAGGCATATCGGGAGACAACTGTCTAACAAGAGCACATAGGGAGACAACTGACTAACCAGACGCACCTCGGGAGACAACTGTCTAACCTGAGGCACCTAGGGAAACAAGGGACTAACTAGCGGTACCTAGGGAGACAACTAACTAACAAGAGGAACCTAGGGAGACAACTGACTAACCAAAGGCACCTCCGGAGACAACTGTCTAACAAGAGGCACATACGGAGACAACTGACTAACTAGCGGTACATAGGTAAACAACTGACTAACTAACGGTACCTAAGGAGACAACTGACTAACCAGAGGCACCTCGGGAGACAGCTGTCTAACAAGTGGCACATAGGGAGACAACTGACTAACCAGAGGCACATCGGGAGACAACTGACTAACTAACGGCACATCGGGAGACAACTGACTAACAAGAGGCACCTAGAGAGACAACTAACTAACAATAGGCACATAGGGAGACAACTGACTAACCAGAGGCACATAGGGAGACAACTGACTAACTAGCGGTACATAGGTAAACAACTGACTAACTAACGGTACCTAAGGAGACAACTGACTAACCAGAGGCACCTCGGGAGACAGCTGTCTAACAAGTGGCACATAGGGAGACAAAGGACTAACCAGAGGCACATAGGTAGACAAATGACTAACTAGCGGTACCTAGGGAGACAACTGACTAACCATATTTACATCGGGAGACAACTGACTAACCAGAAGCACCTCGGGAGACAACTGTCTAACCAGAGGCACATAGGGAGACAACTGACTAACCAGAGGCACCTAGGGAGACAACTGACTAACCAGAGGCACTTCGGGAGACAACTGTCTAACCAGAGGCACATAGGGAGACAAAGAACTAACTAGCGGTACCTAGGGAGACAACTAACTAACAAGAGGCACATAGGGAGACAACTGACTAACCATATTCACTTCGAGAGACAACTGACTAACCAGATGCACCTCGGGAGACAACTGTCTAACCAGAGGCACATACGGAGACAAAGAACTAACTAGCGGTACCTAGGGAGACAACTAACTAACAAGAGGCACATAGGAAGTCAACTGACTAACCAGAGGCACCTAGGGAGACAACTGACTAACCATATTCATATCGGGAGACAACTGACTAACCAGAAGCACCTCGGGAGAGAACTGTCTAACCAGAGGCACATAGGGAGACAAAGGACTAACTAGCGGTACCTAGGGAGACAAATAACTAACAAGAGGCACCTAGAGAGACAACTGACTAACCAAAGGCACATCGGGAGACAACTGACTAACCAGAGGCACCTCGGAAGACAGCAGACTAGCCAGAGGTACCTAGGTAGACAACTGTCTAACCAGAGGCACCTAGAGAGACAACTGACTAACCAGAGGGACTCAGTTAGACAACTGACTAATAATAGGCACCTAGAGAGACAACTGACTAACCAGAGGAACCTCGGGAGACAACTGATTAACCAGAGGCACCTCGGGAGACAACTGACTAACCAGAGGTACCTAAGGAGACAACTGTCTTACCAGAAACGCCTCGGGAGACCTTGGGCTAACCAGAGTAACATTTGGCTACAAATGACTAACCAGAGGCGCATAGAGCAACAACGGGGTAACCAAAGGTACCTTGAAATCACAACAGACCAATCAGACGTGTCTAGGGCGACATTGGGCTAATCAGGGTCGTCTAGGGCGACAACAGACTAACCAGTCGTAACTAGGGCGACAACGGGCAAACCAGCTGAGCCCAGGATCATGAAACATTTTTAGTCTTAAGCGTTTGCTTTGCAAATCACGCATAGCGTCACTTTTTATGACGTTAATTGTAGTTGGTCAAGTCCAAACTTAAGACTATTTCAGACTAAAGATAGTGTCATGATCTCGGGGCCAGATTTACCTAGGGCGATAACGGGCTAACCAGATGGGGTTAGGGCGACACCAGACTAACTGGAGGTACCTATGTCGTTACCTGAACAAGCCAGCGACATTTCGATCCGGTAGGGTAACTGTTCGGGTATCCACTCGACTTCACAGTAATAGTCTCGCCGATAGATCCAATCACAACTTTGTGGTCTTGATCGGTACAGTTTCCTGAATGCAAAAATACAATACTCAATTTATGTAACAGGAATTATAAATAGAAAAGAGAATATTTAAGTGTCAATAAAAATGGACTAAACAGAGACAGGAACTGGAACTGTGGTTTGAACGAACAAACGGAAAGTCATTAGTGCCCACCCCGTCCCCTTTTCCTCCCACACACAAGAAGCGTTCTGTAAAACCAGGTACAGGTATCACAGGAGGGTAAGCGTTAAACTAGCTAAAGGTATCCCGGAAAGGTAAGCGTTTAACCAGATACAGGTGTCCCGGGAGGGAAAGTGTTTATAAAGCTACAGATATTTCGAGAACGTAAGCGTTCATCTAGGTACATTCTTGGAGGATACGCGTTTAACAAGGTACAGATATCCCGGGATGGTAAGCGTTTAATAAGGTCCATGTATCCCGGAAGGGAAAGCGTTTAACCAGGAACAGGTTTTCCGGGAGGGTAAGCGTTTAACCAGGAACAGGTTTTCCGGGAGGATAAGCGTTTAACTATGTTCAGGTTTTCCGGGGGGATAGGCGTTGAACCAGGTACAGTTATCTCGGGATGGTAAGCGTTTAACAAGCTACAGGTATCCCAGAAGAGTAAACCTTTAACCAGATCAAGGGTTCCTGGAAAGACAAGTGTTTGACCAGGAACAGGTATCCAGGGAGGGTTAGTGTTTAACAATGTACAGGTATCCTTGGAGGGTAAGTGTTTACCCAGGTACAGGTATCCAGGGAGGGTACGCGTTTGATTAGGCACAGGTATACCGGGAGGGTAAGCGTTTAACAAGGTACAAGTATTCCTGGTGGGTAAGCGTTTAACAAGGTACAGGTATTCCTGGTGGGTAAGCATTTAACAAGGTACAGGTATTCCTGGTGGGTAAGCATTTAACAAGGTACAGGTATTCCTGGTGGGTAAGCGTTTAACAAGGTACAGGTATTCCTGGTGGGTAAGCGTTTAACAAGGTACAGGTATTCCTGGTGGGTAAGCGTTTAACAAGGTACAGGTATTCCTGGTGGGTAAGCGTTTAACAAGGTACAGGTATTCCTGGTGGGTAAGCGTTTAACAAGGTACAGGTATTCCTGGTGGGTAAGCGTTTAACAAGGTACAGGTATTCCTGGTGGGTAAGCGTTTAACAAGGTACAGGTATTCCTGGTGGGTAAGCGTTTAACAAGGTACAGGTATTCCTGGTGGGTAAGCGTTTAACAAGGTACAGGTATTCCTGGTGGGTAAGCGTTTAACAAGGTACAGGTATTCCTGGTGGGTAAGCGTTTAACAAGGTACAGGTATTCCTGGTGGGTAAGCGTTTAACAAGGTACAGGTATTCCTGGTGGGTAAGCGTTTAACAAGGTACAGGTATTCCTGGTGGGTAAGCGTTTAACAAGGTACAGGTATTCCTGGTGGGTAAGCGTTTAACAAGGTACAGGTATTCCTGGTGGGTAAGCGTTTAACAAGGTACAGGTATTCCTGGTGGGTAAGCGTTTAACAAGGTACAGGTATTCCTGGTGGGTAAGCGTTTAACAAGGTACAGGTATTCCTGGTGGGTAAGCGTTTAACAAGGTACAGGTATTCCTGGTGGGTAAGCGTTTAACAAGGTTCAGGTATTCCTGATGGGTAAGCGTTTAACAAGGTAAAGGTATTCCTGGTGGGTAAGCGTTTAACAAGGTACAAGTATACCGGGAGGGTAAGCGTTTAACAAGGTACAGGTATTCCGGGTGGGTAAGCGTTTAACAAGGTACAGGTATTCCTGGTGGGTAAGCGTTTAACAAGGTACAGGTATTCCTGGTGGGTAAGCGTTTAACAAGGTACAGATATTCCTGGTGGGTAAGCAATAAACAAGGTACAGGTATCCAGGTTCCGGTACCACATGTGGCACCCATTAAATAGACATGTGTAAAAAGATACTTCATATGTCATTTAGGTAACATTTATTTATACTGTAAATATGAAAATTTGATTTAGAAGTATGTAATTAGAGCAAAACCGAAATTAGTTCTTCAAAAAAATATTTTAACCTGAAACTAAAGTAAAATTCATTTTCTTTTTTTTTAACAACAATGCATACCGTTAACACGTTTTGCAGTATTTTGTCTTCAAGTCAGATATTTGGAAATAAATAATGAAAGTGCCATTATTCAAATGAAAATCGGATAGTATTTTAGAAAGCCCTTTAAAAAAGTAACCGGGATAAAATCATGATCAACATTGTATTTCCCAATTATTTGTTTTTCTATGACCTAATGAAACATTCCAAACTTGTTCAATTGGCAGAGTACAGCAACAAGCATTCGATAGATGTGTCAGAAAACGAACGATTAAGAGAAAAACACATAAAAAGATATTCAACTTGAATAACGGAGATTCGAGCAGCGTGAAATATGGAAAAAAAATATTAAAAAATAACTAGTCAGTATGATCAAAAGAAAAGTTGAACGAAACTTTGACAATTTTAAGAACGAAAATGAAAAAAACGACATTCGAAAACTGCATCGAAGTAATTTTTTTTTTTATTTTTTTTATTTTTTTTTTGATCTTTTGATAAAATAGTGGAGTAAACAGTGGCGTACAAACCTTCCTGTATAACAGATTCACACAGCTCTCCAGTCAGACCATCCGGGCAGGTACATGTGCAATCCTCGCCCAGGAATTCCCCATGCTTGCAATCCTTTGGGTCACAATGACCTACAAAATGTATATATCCAGATTATTCCATTGGATTCTGTGTTGTAAATAAACATTTTGCATAGTCAGGACACGAACACCTGCAGAGGGAAACATGCATGATAAATACATGCAGGTAAACTACACTGTGGCTACGTCAACAATGGCTTAACAGAGAATATACCCGTTATACTTTTGGATGTATAGACATATAGACACAAATATATTTAATTAAAATTCTTGCTTAGAAATGTAACAAGAGAATCCACAAGTATAGAGAGACCCTTCATTCGAACTCAAAATCGATAGAACTAGGGCAAAATGTGAACATAGGAAAGACTTCTTTGGAGACCCTTGACAAGAGTACATGGAGAATTAGACAAAGTGTTGGGAAAGGTAAACGTCGTCTACCCTAACTCTAACCCTAACCCTAACCGCGTTTAGTATTACAAAATAGAATAATGATTAGTATATATTTATCGAGAAATTTAAGATAATGTTTAGATACAGTTATATGCAGTTACCTAGCATGCACTGCCGTAAGCTCTTGTGATGAGGATATTTAAAATTGAGATTGCTTTGTTTAGTTACAGTTTTCCGGGGTTTTTATAAGGATCTTTTGATAAGGAGCTTGTTATGTTTAGCTTTAGTTAAGTGTGGTGACCCTACCTGCAGAGTCGTACGCTCTGTTGATGTGGAGCTTGTTATGATTTTCAACAGTTAAAGGTGGTGACCCTACCTGCACAGTCGTACGCTCTGTTGATGAGGAGCTTGTCGTAGAAGGATAGGTCTTGGTGATCCTCCAATGACAGAACATCCAGCATCGGGTCCGTAGAAACGTAAGTCTTAGTGCCTTTATGTTTGGCCATCGACTTAAGAGAAAGCGTTAAAATGCTAGCTAAGAATGCTGTGTCGTCATTTTCAAGGAATGCCTTTGTTATTACGCTATCAAGTACGCACTCTAATAAAAGAATATCTTCATTAACAGCCATGAATGTCATATACTAGAGTTTTCGTTTTATTTATTTTCTTTTGTTTTAAATTACACTCAAAGATATAAAACTGAGGCAAAACGAAACGGCAATATTTTGAAATTGAATTGTGAAACAGATTCCAACTTTCGTCTCCCTCGTTTTGGTAGGAGATGGATATTAGTATAAAATAGCAAATGTTATAACTTCCCACTGATCTGCTAAATGGATAGTGATTTAAAGTTATGAAATACAGATCCCTCACTGTATATCAAAGACTCTGTCAGTAATAAGAGGGACATTACTTAGGAGTATCAATATCATAAGACTTACATAAGGCGTGTACAACATGACAGAGCTCTGGTCAAACGGGATATTGAACATGACCAAATCGGGTTTTTTTCTCCATATTCGGGTTGTGTTGTCCGCCTAACACGTTATCCCAATCGATAGTTATGTACGTATCGCGGTCTGGCCGGCTTTGTACATGCTCCAGGCCCAAGGTGTGACATAGCTCGTGGAGAATGGTGCCGTTCTATTAATAGAATCAAAACAGTAGAGCAGTAAATATTAAATGAATATAGTGAACTGGCTAAAAATACTCCCACAAAATTGTTGTATTTGACAAAGAGACCAAAACAAACAGATACAACGAAATAGGCAGACAGATGAAACGAGTGCTCAAATTTGTGTTAAGAATATGACAAACGAATAGTATATTGGGTTGTAAAAGTGTTTTTAAAGCTATTAAAGTTATTAAAACATATCATAATATAATAATGTTGTGTTCTTGATAACAATAAAAAAATCCAGTTACCCAGTTTTAAACACCTAGGGTAATCGGAAGTCCTTATTATCCTATTGACGGAATGCTTGTATGTAAATAGCTTTCGACTGACGTACTGTAGTCCCAAGCATTACTGATATTGTTATTACATACTAGCTAACCAGGTTTAATTCGACTCCATCGTCCTCAGGTTTAATATAACCTCGACGTATAATATCAATAATTACATCTTTAACTTTACATTTTACTTATACCTTTAATAGAAATGAGTGTATTCATAACATGAAAGGGGATCACAGATGGACTGAGGACAGCTAGTTTTACAAGCAAAAAAGTAATTTAGGAACATTGTTTTTTTTCATTTTTTAAGCACTTGTGTCTAAAATTTCCTTCGGTGGGATCCAACTTACATCCATGCAGCCGTCTTTTTCCAGGGAGATGTTCTGATGTCCAGTACCCGACATGTAAGACTGGACATTTCCGGTCTGTGAGTAACATCTGAAATATAATATGATTTCATACGATAATGGTAACACCCTAAGCATAAAACCAACTCAAAATATTTTTTATCACATGGCTACCGTGTTACTCGATGCATATACCAAATTATTCCATTCTTGCCAATGCCTGATAGTCTTTTAACGTGATAAAACTGATAACCACATCATTTATATTGTATTTTGATGAAAATCGATATATTTCTTTCAAAAATCTTTCCTGATACTAGTAATATGCAATGACTTTCCGTTGAATATCAAACATGAGTTTGGCAGAATGCCAATATGTTCATAAGTTGGTACGAGTTCACGTGTGACTCCATTTTACCGTTATGTCTCCTTTATGTCATTTACTTCAATTGGGTAGCATCACAATGCTCACTATTTAATACAGTACTTTTCTCTTGGCAGTTTTCTAACCTTCCAACTTTTTTATGCTAGTAAAAGGATAATTCGTGATTAACAGTATAAAAATGACTTTCAGAGAAGTTTGTTGTAGCGTTATTTCATTTTAGATATTAGTCTCACCCTATACCGTCCACGATTTGTACGTGGTAGTCCTTAGAGTTTGGCTGCACATACTCCCATGTGATACAAGTTGACTTCTCAATCTTGTCCATCATCTTACGAATCTTTTCTTGGTTTGTCATACCTGTCAATGGATTAGTACTAGTGCTGTACACCTTACAGAGTTATAAATGTATGATAAACATAAATACAAAGTTATTAATTTATGATAAACAAAAATACAAAGTAATTAATGTATGATAAACATAAATACATAGTTATAAATGTATGATAAACATAAATACATAGTTATTAATGTATGATAAACATAAATACAAAGTTATTAATTTATGATAAACAAAAATGCAAAGTAATTAATGTATGATAAACATAAATACATAGTTATAAATGTATGATAAACATAAATACAGAGTTATTAATGTATGATAACAAAAATACAAAGTTTTTTAAGGATTAACTTCAATATATTTTTGATGTTATGGAGGTATAACACAAAATAAAAATGTACTCCAAATAAACCGTTTTTATTTGGAATACAAAATGAGTGCCATACACGGGACAATGATATCTAATAGGCTGATCGAGGACATTTTCACTGACATGACACATGTTTACTAAAGAAGGATCACTTGCGCAAATTATATCTTAGAGGGAGGAAGGCGATTCAGTGAATAAAGTAGGACTGGCAACGCTTTGGGTAAGATTTAAAGTATATAGTAAATTACGTAGGAGCATTGAAGTCACCAGTTACAATTATATTAGATATTTCGGTGCTGAAAGCAAGATCTATAGAATGGGCAATGTGATCCCAGAAAGAAACTTGGTTACTCACTTATATTACTTGAGGCCGAGAAGGTATATCGGACGGTTCCATTATCCCATAGTTGGGTTGCTAATTTGATATTCCGTTTGTCTCCCTAAAATAAAATATATGTTAAAAGATCTATATATCAATATTGTCAAAAGCACATGCATAATAACCATTCAGTTTTCATTAACACAATATCAGGTAAGTCCATAATATCGAAAGTTTCTAAATTAAAAGTTTATTCATAAAGCTATAACTTTTTTCTTTGTGTGATTAGAACGCGTATATTTTGATTGCAGTTGTATACATTTTCGATGTATATATTTGAATATTTTTATTTGAGTGGTAAATGACTTCTGTGTCACTATGGTCATTTTAGACGGAGCTCATCGATAAGTTAAGATATAATATTGATTCCCAACCTACCGATGGCAATATTTCCTCTTTCATCGGTTGTTGCAACCCTGGATGACGAGACGCATACTGCAATAAACGAACAACATTATGTTATTATATAAAACAAGAACCCTGTAGTCCATCATCCTTTCAGGTCTGGTCTTATTAATGTAAACAGAATACCAACCTGATCTTAAGGATCTTATCACATTATACCAGTATATCTCTTATTATAAATAATTAATAAAGAAGTTCGTAATTTTATAATTTCCAATTGATCAATATGTTTTATTTGTATTAATTGCAGAAAACGTGTTTCCCTCTGCGTTTAAATGCAATGACTGATGTGTGTAAATTGAGATAAATATCAATCATTTCCTTATTTAATTGGGGTATGTTTTTTCCTCAAAAGAACAATCGCCATTTGCAAAAAGACCATACAAATAAACCAATGAGAATAAGTGCTTAAGAGAATACGAAATGTATTTATTATAATAAGACTTGATGTGTATTTTTGTTAGACTTACTATGTCTAATCCATTCTCTGAAAGTTTCACTTGATGCGTTCTGTTAGTCTCTTACCTTGTCTGGTACATTTTCAGAAAATAGGACTTATGTTTGTTAGATTTGCACTTTCTGGTTAATTCTGAGATTATGACTTGGTGCGTTCTGTTAAACTTACCGTGTTTGGTCCTGTCCCTGAAAGTATGACTTGATGTTTTCTGTTAAACTTACCGTGTCCGGTCCTGTCCCTGAAAGTATGATTTGATGTATTCTATGAAACTTACCGTGTCTAGTCCTTTCCCTGAAATTATGACTTGATGTATTCTGTTAAACTTACCGCGTCCGGTCCTTTCCCTGAAAGTATGACTTGATGTATTCTGTTAAACTTACCGTGTCTGGTCTGTTCACTGAAAGTATGACTTGATGTATTCTGTTAAACTTACCGTGTCCGGTCCTTTCCATGAAAGTATGACTTGATGTATTCTGTTAAACTTACCGCGTCCGGTCCTTTCCCTGAAAGTATGATTTGATGTATTCTGATTAACTTACCGTGTCTGGTCCTGGCACTGAAAGTATGACTTTGTGTATTCTATTAAACTTACCGTGTCCGGTCCTGTCCCTGAAAGTATGACTTGATCTATTCTGTTTAACTTACCGTGTCTGGTCCTTTCCCTGAAATTATGACTTGATGTATTCTGTTAAACTTACTGTGTCTAGTCCTTTCACTGAACGTATGACTTTATGTTTCTGTTAAACTTACCGTGTCCGGTCCTGTCCCTGAAAGTATGACTTGGTGTGTTCTGTTAAACTTACCATGTTCGGTCCTGACCCTGAAAGTATGACTTGATGTATTCTGTTAAACTTACCGTGTACGGTCCTGTCTCTGAAAGTATGACTTGGTTTGTTTTGTTAAACTTACCGTGACTGGTCCTTTCCCTGAAAGTATGACTTGATGTGTCCTGTGAGGATCCTGTGAATTACATAAACTGATAACTACACAAAAATACAAGGACTGAGACCGCTGTAATATGGTCATCTATTCAAGAAAAAATATTCAAGTTCCTATGAAAAAATAATGGCCGTGAAATTAATACTTTCGCATAAATATATTCATTGTTTCTACGTCATACCATCACTGTATCACTGTACACTGGGTACTAAATAACAAATATACTGCAGTTAGTGAAAATAAAGTTGTTATTATTATGCTTTATATAGGAACTATTTCAATGTTGACTTTGAAGAAAATAAGTGTTTTTGCTTATTGGATTTATGTATCAGAAAAAGGTTATATCTATAAAATTCCATAGGAATATCAAAATATTAATTTCCACTTAAAATAAAACCCCATCTCGTTCCGTCTGCTATTTGTTTATGAATAGGTCCTCTATAAATAGGAATAAAGGAATGTAGTCCGGGGTTCTTTACCTGCGCTTCAGGCTTCGGAGTGGCTGGGTCATTCTGGGTTTTCTTTTGGTTCTTCAGTTCAGCTAGTAGTCTAGTCAGAGCTTCTAGTGAATCTTGCAATAACATCACAAAGCAAATTAGATAAAAACAAGCACAGCATCAATCCTTAAAGGCAATATTCGAAATCAAAATTTGCAGAAAAAACAAACCCAGAACCGATATCAAAAGAAGAAGTAAAGCATTTGACATCCTGTATAATTAATTAGATAAACATTGCCAATACTACAAAGCAGATAGGAAGCTTCTTTATAACATAGGAGAAACCCGCCAGTATGCTTCCGTTAATTAAAAAAAATATACATGGAGATACATGTATGATAATGATGAAATTTGTACCATTCCTACAGTGTAGATTGTAGCCATATGGTAGACAACTCTGACTACGAAGTTTATAGGAACTAATGTCTCGAGAATTTCTGATGCTAATTTGTGAACCGCTTTGCGACGACCTAGTACCTAGGTTGTGATGAAGCGGTATATAAGAGCCTCGAATCATTATTGTTATTATTATGCTTTATATAGCTATAGGCTCTAAACTAAAAGATGCTTTTTAACTCAGTTTTATACATTATTATAACGACGAAATATAGAGTTTGGTTAAAAACTATCAAATGTTGTAAAAATAAATTAAAATACTTTGTATGATAATGGATTATTTATGATAATTTACTATGGAAAAAGGCAATACTATACTTACCATTATAAATATAAACTCACCATTCATACACAGTGACAGAAATGCAATTTATGATATGATATTAAATAAAAAGACGACTGGCATAGATATTGGTTTATATGGTGTGGTAAAAGTAAAACGGTTAAGGGGGAGACACTGACCGGGGAATAATACTGGGGGTTATGATGGAAGTTAGCAATACAAATCAAACATAAATTACTAAAGCATGAGGGATAAAGTGTTTAACAGGTAATAAGAAACCGATTGCAAAATCT